GTTCAAAACAGGCATATGTATGCTTGCATTATACCCTCAAGTTGGATGGTGAATGAATTATAAATGGATCATACTTCTTATAAGTACATTAAGGTATGTTGAAGAGAAGAGTGAGTGAATATTATTTTATGCTGGGTCAACATTGAATTTGAGAATGCAAGATTCCATTTTTATTTTGTGTTCTCTTGTAAAGTTGGCGGAATATTTTTATCTTCCCTTTCGCGCGATGGTCGTTCCGTCAGCAACAGATCCACGTTGGCTCATGAAACAATCCTCAGGCAAAAACAAATAATAACAAACATGTTAATTTTAAGGGTTTTTATTAATACCTGGAAATTGTAGAATAACAATGTTCACCAGTAGCAACCAAGCAATGTCTAGCTGAGAGGGCGGTAGCGAGAGTGCTCAATAAAGATGTATGTTGGAATAAAAATGTAGCTCATTAAACGTGGAAGGTCTGTGGAGCACCAGAACCTCAGCTCCGAATGCCCGCTAGTATGACACGTAGGGGAACGGGCTTTCAGGTGTACCCTGAATATCTGCCAATCAGACAAACCTAGCTTCCTTGTAGGATTTCTGTGTTAAGGTTGTAATAGAGAGGGATTTATGAGGTGGTTGATTCAAACAAGGATGTCATAAACACTACAGCAAGTCGACAGAACTGTAAGGCTCCAAATGGTCTGGTCAGAGCATTACACCAAGCGACCCTAATGTACAATATGTGAAGAAAGAAGATTAAAAATTAAGAAAACTACCAGTCGAATCTCAGATATTCTCCAGTAAAATTAACAAATATTCTGTGAATTAAAAAAATGACAAACAAAAAGCATATATTCTGAATGTGGAATCTAAAGTTAACACTACCGACAAAATCCTGAGATACACGAGTTAAAATGATCAGCTGTAATGAAGTGATCACCAATATAAGAAAGTATCATGTTAGTCAAGTCGCGGCCATTATTGTCAGAGTCACGGGACCTGTACTGAAATACAGCCAGAAGCATGGAGTGATAAGGAGGATGGTTTCTTCATCAGCCACGATGGAGACTGCGTGTATATCAACTTCATCTAGTACTCTGTACAAAACCGACTCGACCAGAAGCCACGATAAGACATGAGGAAAAAAATCTGACAACAGTAAGGTGCATAATAAAATTCCTTATTTCCCAAGCTACTTTATGAAAGACTTTGTGAAAGACAATTAAGTGCAAAATGTAATCAAATACATATCAAATCTACAAAAGGAAAAACTCACAGTTTAATGCATTTTATGAGAAGTATATGGTTCACTTATGTCTACTGCCGAGGCCAACAGCAGAACACGAAGGTCGTCCCACATGGTGGGAAGACTCTAATGTGTCTAGGGGAAGATTTGGAGCAGTATAAATTAGGCTAAGATCTTATACACCATTCTTACCATGTAGACCAACACGTCATCCCATTCGCTGGTAGCATTCGTCTCTGGGAGAGGATCAAGACGCGCGACAATCCCACACATACACAGTGGTAATATCAGTAAAAATGGGTAGATGTACAATAAACATTTTGTTCATTAGCTGGCACGAAAAACACTCTACCACCTACAATGTAACAAGTGGTCTTAAATTCGATAATATTGTAATCAGAGAAATTGCTAAGCAAACCTTTGAATGAAGGATGGTGGTATGTGAGGACTAGTTAAATACTGTTATACACATTAAATAATATTTGATCAACTATTTGTAATAGTAATTGGTATATTCACTCTATACATAAAGACAAATACATGCCATCATAAATAATCTACAATATTTCGTTTACTGGGCATGACATATTTGAATCAATAACATGTCATTAAATGCTTTCTTTGTTAATCCTGAAAAAAGTTGTGATCATGAATATTATGATGAATCTTTTTAATGACAATCTGCAATGCAAAACATTCAGTAAAACTATTCGTGATCCCTATTCTTTACGTTCAGAATAGATGGAATGAAAGTCATTAAGACTATTAGGTTAAAGATGATCTGAGTAAAAATTACTACTTCGTACAAAACATCTCACTCTTATGTAATTTCAATAATGTAGCCTCGCTATTTGTATGTGAAAATGTCACTTCATACAAGGTGTTGTGTACTGTAATCGTATGGTAGATTCATGAAGTTATAAAAGCAAAAAAATATGAGAATACTTTTAAAAAACCACATAGATATGAAATGGATATTTTCATCATATATTGAAAAACTCAATCATAAGTAGGTGGGTGTTTCGTTCTCTATAACAAACATACGGATGATCGACGTACGAAATGAGAAATCTTTGACCCTACTATCACTGAAATTTACAGAAAATGTCTCAAGATGATGGTTACAATAAAACATAAAGTACGAAAAAGAATAAACGAGTTGAAGAAGATCAATAAAAGCAATAAAAATTAAGCTGGCATGGCTATGAACCATTAACAAATTTAATATATAGAAACCAAGAAGCATATATTTTTTTTCTGTTTCGCTCCAATTCAGACATGGGGCAAACAAATTCCAGAAAATATAAAGAAATCCGAACAAACGTTTCTGTGTATTTAAAAGATGGTACAAAATAAATGAAATGAGAATGATACCAACGCCCTTAAGACAATAATAAAATTTTCTTTTTCACCGGCAGAGGTTATACACAGCTGCAATCATAAGTTTAAAATACGTAACAACTAAAGGTAACCATCAAGCGTTTAATCAAAGCGCTGCTTAATTCCAAAACGAGGCACATCACGCATCGTGCTTTATTTAAAAGCTTTGTTTTAAACCCTGAAAGGTATGTGTAACACTACTGAATCTGGCAAAATTCCACTGTGACGTATTTTGGATATTTCAGTTCTTCCTCTCTCAATGAATCGCTTGATGGCTTCCTCTAACTGCAGTAGTATTCTATTGCTTAACAATGTTCATATCACAAGAACTCGCTGGTGTTAGGGACTGAATAATGCCTAATGCCGATATATTACTGTCTGTACGATCCATTGGCATCTTTGATCAATTTTACCGTGAAATTATGCCTTGAAACCTTACTTATCTACCCTGGTGATTGTTTACACTACCCAGATTTTACCACTTTGAACGTTGGGTATTTATGTCACTTTAGTTGTATCACGTCTTTCTTTGTTGGAAAAGTGAAAAAATAATTAAATTTAATACCATTTCGCGGAAATAGTCATAAAAATAAAAATATCCATAAAATTAAAACTGAATCTCTTTCACATTGAGTTGTTATGCAAATGTCAATATAACTATTCAGACACAATCTACAAGTAAAAGATGTGTCTATAATATATTCTAGCTCTAGGTAGTAATCAATACATGTGTTTTATCTCTGCAAATTGAGCGGTTTTAAAATATCAATAAACGTCTTTCACGTGTTTGTCTTTATCAACATTAGAGTAAGCTATGGCTATGAAAACCTTTGGTTCTCATTCCAGCAACTTTCAACGCACATCCAAGACATCATAACATCATTAACACTTCAACAGTTCATACAACAAATGTGTGGAAAACTCAACAAGGGATTTTACATCGCACGGAGATAAAAAGTGTCGTAAATATTTACCATTCAACAAACAGTCTTTAAATTCTATTATACAGTCATGATGTACATCTGTTACTATACTCATTTCACAATTTTAATCTCGACTTAAATATGCACGGGGAGCAGTTAATGACGTAACGTCATTGTCGAAACCAGGATTACCGAATCAAACAGCTTTATGTCCATCCTGTTCATGTTGTCGTGCCAATGGTTATAGTGTAAGTGGTGAGGACAGTGTTGTTATATTGATGGTTCTACAATGGTGTTCAAACTGGCCATGGTGTCCAATTGGTGTCCAGTCTGACTTCATACGGTAAATTACACCATGAGAGGCAGAATATATATTCTAACTCAAGGCAGAGTTTTTTAACTTATTACTTAACCTCGCCAGTAACTTCTTTGCTTATGAAAAGAACACCAATTCACAGTGAAATGCCATCCCAGTCGATGCAAGAATTAATACTCTTCACAAATACTTTTCAAATGAATACTTTGAAGATAGATACATTAAAGGTGTAAGGGGAAATTATATTTGCATCTTTCAAACTTTTATATATTATTCATATTTGTTCGAGCTTTGTTTAAGTACTTGAATAAGCATTGTCATCAACTCAACTGCCTGGCTTTAAGTGTTCTGGACACAAGGACCTGCTTCTCCTAACAGTAGGTAAAGGCTATAGTTTTACAAATTGAGATGTGTGTTTTCCATTTATTTTCACTTCAAACCTTTCTTTTCGCAAAGTATCTTACAGATCCAGATGAGCGACATAATTCTTGTAACTGTTTTCAAAGGTTTACGAACACGACACATCTACGCATCAATCAGTAAGCAAGCAATATGTTTTCAGTGCCTATTCGTTATGTTTTCGGTATCCGAATGTTTCCAGAATAACTATATTTTGATTAGTACGGTATCCAGGAGCTGCCGGTTCTGGAGGTAGCATACAGTACAGTATATAGCATACTTCTAACATGGAATGATGAGAAATATCACTTTGAAGGAACCTCGGTTGAAATATAGCACACTTTACCAGCACTGTCATACCATATCATGTCATACCATGCTGTGAGTGAACATTACTAAATATATTTAAATCATAACACAATAAAAAGCATTTGTATCGGTTCGATTAATATCATTATTTTATCGTAATTATATAATCATGTGATATGGACGGTGCTGCATACAAATCTAATGTAAAATAAGCATTTGTATATATACCTACCAAAGTCCACAAACCTTTGTAATTTTGTTTCTGATATAATTACACGGTGATATATTTACCTATACCTATCGTTTGGAGACATAGTATTACCATTTATGTCATATTATTCTAGTTCTATATTCTAAAATATACCATAAAGAAGAGCTTTTATATTTGTAGCAAAGTGACAAAAGTCATTCAGAAGTGAAAGATCTGTCATATTTATATCTTTACAAACCACTGTGTGTCTAGCAACCAACTGGTCTTTAAATAGAAGCCCCAGACTTTGGTTATATTCCTGTTTCCATGGATACCAGATTGTTAACCATTTGTGCTGAAATAGCAACGTTGTTTTCGTGAATGTTTCTGCTGACTAAGTAAGGACATGTTCTGCACAAATATTTCAGGATATTTAAATTTATAATAGCATTAAATTCTTTTGAGCCATATGAAATGCTTTATGATTTGAAATATAAACACAGAATTACAGCTGGGATTAATCGATTGTGTTCAGTTGTTGCAATACACAGCAAAATGAAGAATATGACGTCAAATGAATTCATGGTTACCATGGCGACAAGATGGGTGCAGGAACGTATTTTTAAACTTGGATTCTAACACCCCCTAGAACGAAACATTCCAGAGCAACAACACTCTACCAGAAAACCTTCAATAGCAATTTCAAATATAAATGTCATCTCCCAAAAGGCATAATTTGCAATCCAGTCCAGAATTACATATTCTCAAACCAAAACCAGACGTTTCAAAGAAAGAAATTTGGTTTCAATGAATACAACAAGTTTGCAAATGCTACCTTTTGTTGTGTGAACGTTTATGTTAGTGATAGATCTTGTAGTGGAAATGGAAGATTAATAATAAGCCCCTTTTCGACAATCCCGTGCCAGATTTCGGGCAGATGAAGATAAGACGATGTGGTTTCATGAAAAAGAATGAGGTATGCAATGTTTGTCAAGAAAATGAAAAAAAATATGAAAATTAACAACAAAATGATATAAATCTGTTACTATGTTCAAACTGTGTGTGATATCTACACTGGGTGTGGTTAAAACTAGGTGAGTACAGAGAGACGCTGACGGGTGCATACTATATGGGGGACTAGGTATCGAAAACTCCTCAAGCAAAGAAACCAAGATGAAAACTACTGCTTAATTATATCATGAAAAGACCTCTCCCCATCAAGGATAAAAACAATATTAGCACAAGCACAGTCGTATAGATTCTCATTATGTTAAAACGAGGAACATTCCCCGTAGTATGTTTCTAGAAATGACTGCTTACATCCACCAATATACACGTTTCCGAAAATGGAAAAGTAAACAGGAAGGAAATTTACACATTACTGTACAGTGTTAAGTTTCCATTTAATGAAAGGTGTCATTGTACACATGATTTTGCTATGTCATAAACTCTCAATACATTTGGAAATCTGTATCAAATATATCTGCAATTAAGTTGAAAGTACGCTACGTTTCATAAAAGACATCTAAAAATCTACTCTACGAACCTTCTTAATTTGTGTTACACTCATTACAACAAATATACAAAAAATAGTTCAACGTACATTCTAGAATTATAGTCTATGTCATGTGAGCAAAAGCAATTGATAAACTAGCTATAACTAGAGAAGTTCATCTTGGCAGTACCGACCTCAATGGTGCAGTTGTCCGGCAAAGATTCAGTTGAGAACTTGAAGTCTCGCACACGTTCTGACAACAGTATGTCGACCATACATATTTGATACAGATTTCCTGCTTTTCCAGGGGGCTACGGTCTGCATTGTACGTACAGACTCCGCAAACTGTACAGTACAGAATTTGTACTCTGTACGGTACAGAATAAGTATCCTGCATGGTACAAATTATGTGCAATTACGGAACAGATGGCATATTGTACGGTTTCAACACTTTACCTTGTGGCATAGCCTCTCTGCACTGTACGGCCTAACATGTGTACACCGTACAGCGCACACATTTCTACACTGTCCGCCACAAACTCTGCACACTTTCGTGTACAGAATCTATACACCGTATGACACACAATCTGCACACCATGTAGTACAAATTCCCTACTCTGTACGGCACAAACTCTCCACACTGTACGGCACAAACTCCGTACACTGTACGGCACTATCTCCGTACACTGTACGGTACAGACTCGTGTTGGCTGGGACCACCAGGACGTTGAGATCAGGATGCGATACACATTAAAATGATATGCAAAAATTGTAAAATAAATAAATTAGAAAATATGTACAGGACACTCATCAGTTCAAACAAAGTACTGGAGCATTGTAAAGCTTGAACATTGCATCTCCGAGACCGCCACTAGGGCGAGTTAGGACCTTGTAAACCAACATCCCATAATATCAAAAGTATCGCAATCACAATTGAACGCTCCAATCAACACGCTATCCAACAGCATCCAACTGTGGGATTTTCGGTGCTCGTTCCTCGAGGTTCAAAGAGTGTGAAAATTGCAGCTCTCTGTGGAATATCCGGGGTAGGTCATGTATGAAATACACTTTTGAAACTTTCACGTGGTAAAACGCACCGCCATCTTTGTGGTGTATCACGTGGTTAGTTGCGTACAGATCACATGACTTTTCATTGGATTGTGTTCAGGCGATACACATCTTGTACGAACAATCAACACAGATCAAGACTCGTTCCATTCTCACAACCATACGCATATGGTCGACAAGAATAGGCAGATCGTCCTCAGCTCAAATCATGTATTCACCTTGTTCAGTGCTATATCATGGCCTGGAATCGAAGTGTCTCCTCATGTCTGGCTGATAAAAATGTACAGCTATTCCTCCTCCGCAGCAAAAGTTCCACAGTATCACCAATGGGAAGATAATTAAAGAAAATGTCATAATGCTTACCATCCACAAGAAATTCAGTGACTCGCCTTATATCACAATCACGCATATAAACTTGAAGTTGATAAAAATGTCATAATAAACAAGGTGGTTGAAAATTTCTACTCTACTTGGGAATGCCCGGAAATGCTGTTACAAGGTAGATATCCTCACAACTCCCGGGTTCTGGGATTGGGTCGGAGGAGACATAGTCCCACTTGTACTCTGTGTTTTTAATGATTCCGTCTCTGAGGTTGTACTTGGAGTCGGGAGTGTCACTATCGCTGTTGTCACGGTAAGAGTATTGTTAGATTTACTATTTGTACACTCAACGGCATTCAGGCTTGAGCGAGAGGATCGGTTTATTGTGGGAAGTCGGATTTGAATGTCGTTCAGTTCCTCCTGTTCCAAGCCATGTCTATCGTGTGTTCGACCCTGAAAAGGAACACAGTTTCAGAGTTATTAAGAGCAAACATTCCCACAATTGTGCATAATGTAGAAAATACATATATATATACGTGCATGCTTCAGGGACATCTCTGGCATAAGAGACGAATTTTGAAATTTTCAGATCATCATCCAGAAAGCAGACTGAACAAGATTCGTTGTAGCAAGATTCCAGTTAACTTAGAAGAACTTACCTTCTCACTGGGAACAAACTAAACTAGAAACTAAATTCTATGTCTACATTTGACATGGATTGGTATTTACTATAGAAATTAAAAGAAGAATCACTGTGCAAGAAATTTGTAAAGACGTGCATATAATCAAAGTTTTAACTGAAGCAAACCGTAAAAATCTACTCTTATTTTAATTACTTTATTTACAAGAAAGCTTCGATGTGGTGAAAACCTGCGTGCGCAGCAACCGGTAGTTCGCCGTCTCTGTAACGAGGCCAGGGAGGGATCGGGAGACGGAGGGGGGGTCTCAGATGGCTTGGTGGGTGCTCCATTAAATGTCATTTCCAGTTCTGTGAATTCCCGATCCTGTAGTGACAGAAGAACTTCTCGTCACTTGTGTTTAGATGGCCACGCCGGGCAGGACTTTGTATCACTATGGTTATCTAGGCTCAACTCAACTGCAACTGCACTTAGGGTAGGTACTACTCTCAGGCTTAGATTAATTTTTGAGTTTGTCTACGGGAATTAGTTTTCACAGCAGTCTGTTTTTTGTAGGTTTGCTTTTAGATTATCCAGTGTATCTTGTCTCCATTCTATTAGGATAAATATGTAAGTGAACCAATTTACCTCTATGGTATCATTAGGAAAATACGTCGTCATTTTCATCTATCTCTTCAATCTCTAACGCAACGCAGAATGTCTCTTCTTTATGCCAGTACCCTGATTGGATGGCTATTGTTATCAGGCTCAAAACAAGCCATTGTGCCAATGTGCCCACGGTATTGATCTTAATGGAATGGAGATATTATTCACTGAATAATCTAGGATGATGTGGTTGTGGATTATTTCTAGCTAGTGAAAAGTAGGCTACACAGGGCTATCTTAACAATGAGTGTTTCATGTGTAGCTTTTACGCTCAGTTTGGGAATCCGATTGTTCTCTCACGTTATATACTTCCAATGTGTTTAAAGACTTCATATTTTATAGACAGTAGATTGATAACAACGATTCGTGTAGTGAACTGACGTTGAGAAAATTAAATTGATCAACGTTTTAAATATTCTGAGTGTTGTGGGATTTTTTTTACTGATTATGTTACATCCAGGGACTAAACTCAAGAGGCTATCATATGCTATTGTATGCTTGTTCCTTCGGTGGTTAGCATGCTGATATATATGCTCCGGGTTAAGTAAACTGCATAACAAGTATGCTGGAACACATCTGTCTTCTTGAAACAACCTCAACAAGTTCCCTTAAAATTCTCCTTGATATTATTAAATGCTATTAAAAAAATTCAAAACCTATATACACCCTGAGTCTTGCTGGTTTCCATGGCAAAAACATATACCCAATGCTTATTTTTGAACCCCTTTTGGGCCATAATTAAACTTCGTATCGACTGTATCCTTTTTCTTTTATGGTAGTCTTCAAGACCTAAAATCATAAGAATGTTGTCTTCAAGACCTAAATTCATAAGAATGTATTTTGTTGACATTTCTTATGATTATGAAATGTTTTCTTATTTTCCTGTTATGGTTGTCTTCAAGACCTAAATTCATAAGAATGTATTTTGTTGACATTTCTTATGATTATGAAATGTTTTCTTATTTTCCTGTTCTAGTTGAAATGAAAACCTCAATATCATTTGCCTTCTTATTCACATTACTTTTCCTGTCAATACAATATAACTTTCATATTAGTTAATAATAACATCTGTTGTTCACTCTCCTCAGATTTCGTTTCCCTTTAGAAGTAACACCAAACTCTAGATTTTTTTCAGATATCGCTACCTGTGGAAAGTATTGTCCAATCATTGTTTCATCTCTATCCTAATTACATTTTATTTTATTTATTGCCATGAGCATAATTCAAACAATGTTTCTGTTGTGCTCACATTTTCTCGTATGAATGTAAACTCTCAAACATTCTTTTATGTTTATTCTTGTGAAGACTGAAATCTCAACACTGTCCAAAGCAAAATTCAAAAGCTGTCTTCGGTTACCTTTTCCTTTCCTTTTCAATAATAAAATCCCAATATATTGTCCTTTTCCCCTCACGCTTAAGACTGTTTTCCTTCAAACAATTAGGATCACTAGACTATTTCCTTCTTACTCTCACAGTTGCCTTATCAACTCCAAAGACTATTTTATTTTGTCAACAGCAAAATCCCCCAAACTGAAAAACTCTCACCACTACTTTTATGGGTATCCGTACCTTTTCTTGTTTCACTAAAATATCAGAATTTCCCTTTTGATAACTTTTATTTTTAATTTGAAAAAAGTAATACAGTTATTGTTTCATATCTAAATAGTATAAATTTTATTATCTAAAGAAAAATTCCCAAACCCATTTTTTTCTTTTGGGTATCCCTTTCTTGCCCCAAAATGAAATCCTTCTTATGGTTAATTTTGTCATGTCAAAACTAAAATCATCCAGCTGTTTCCCTTTCCTTGTCTTCAAAGAACTAAAATCTGAAGATTTCCGTTGGCTCCCAAAATCTTGTTCCTGTTCTTGTCTAAATTCAAATCCCAATACTCTTTCATTCTTTTTCTTTTCCTTCTTGATAAGATAGTATCCATATATTGTTTCTTCTTTCAGATCATATTCCTGGTCTCATCAAAACTTATATCCAAATATTCCTTACTGCTTTTTCGTATTTCCTCTTTTGTTGCTAATACTCCAAGATTGTTTTCTTTATCACTCTTATTTCCTTCATGCCAAACTGAAAGCCCAATTTATACTCTCCTGTTCTCATTACTTTTCTTGCTAAAATGATTGACGATCCTTCCCTTTCTAACTGTTTTCTTGCCTCAACTAGGTACCAAGACATCAATATTAATAAATGTATATATTGTGTATAAATGCGTGCAACTCATTCGGGTGTTTGCAAGGCACAACATCTCAAACGCACAAACGTGAACAGTGTAGTGTAGTGTATAACTATTCTTATCTATTGATTCAAACCATTGCTCTCGTAAATATCAGACGAGCTTAGTTCTCCACGGCAGGCGCTGGGGTGGGGTTTGGGGGCAGGGCAGGGAGTCACACCCAAACTAACGAGTGCAATAGCCTTTATCTATTGCAAACAAACTTTCTAACTGGCTGCAAAACAAAATTTTCAACCGACAATGCGAAGCTTTAGTTTTAGCTTTGGTGTTTTGATAAAACATTTATAAAGTGACAGAATGTCCCTCTGGACATCTGGCTACTGCATACAGAGGACAATGTATATCGTATGAGGCTCTATGGGCAAACATATTCATAAGAAATACAGAAATATATATTTGTATGTTCCACATAGAGTCTCACATTTAGGCTATTACAACATTGCAAATTTACAAAGCATGACAGCTGTCTCGAATCAAATATATAACAGATCAGCATGTTTAAACATTTCTACAGCATTAGCAACTAAAGCAAATGTATTACGTTATACCTTAGAAAGAGTTAAGGTACATAGCATTCGGGTTAAAAGTTATTATTATTCATATGAAATGATAATAAATAATCACTAGAGTTATTTAGAATGCGGACGTACGGACAAGCTTGTAAATCAAATATGACTGAGAGTAATGAATAATATTAGAGACAGCTTTCATAGGGAAACCAGTCAGGTACACAATGCAGTGACGAAAAACAGATAAGATATTTGTCTACAGAGAGGAGGGAGAGGAGGGGTGCAGATTACCACTTCTAATGGGTGTGACTCCATGGGCGGTTTGAATATGGACCACCTATGTATATGTGCAAATATGTGTCACCATGAAGTCCATGAAGTCATTCTTCAAAGGAATTATGTTTAAAGTTATCGTAAAATATGATAGTGCCTGGGATTGATGTTTGAATAATTTCTCCAGTTCATGAAGTCATTCTTCAAGGGGAGTATTTAAACATTATTGATAAATATTGTGGTGCCTTTGATTTTGAACAATTTCACCAGTAGTTATTCAGATTTAGGATAACACAATGGTGACTAAGTGCATATTAAGTTATAATATCAATTTTGCGATCAGGGGGACTAGAACGTTGGACATAGTGAATTGTGTCCATAATATGGTGACGAAGATCAGAGGCAAACATACACATATAAAGAGATATCTAGTGCAATTAGCTACAGTCTTGAATGGCGTAGGACAGCATAAGGACTAAATCTAGTGGGTAATATATCATAGCATTAGCACTAAAGAAGATATTTAAGAATATTCATGTACATACGGGTACCTTTTGATATGTTTCACTCACACAATGTCACTGCACTTTATGGTAAGGCTCGTACTCATTTTATTTCGCTTAACATATATTTCATGGTTCCCAAAACAGTAATGTTTGGAGGTAATGATAAGGTGATATTCAAAATATTGAACTTTTTTCAACTTGCACTTAAAGATGAGTGCAGGCATGACAGATTTCCTATTATAAGTGAGTCATCGATGTGTGCATCAAATTATTACAAATGTCAATAAAAGTGCCGATGTTTAAATGTTGGACATCCGCATACATATTTTAAGTATTCTCTACGTAAATACTTTAACTCTATCACTTAAATTAAGTGCACAATTATTTCGGCACTTGTCGTTAAGTCAGTGTACCTTTAGATGTACCTACTATTGCCTGAGGTTATTTTGACAAGCGTTTGTGATTGTTTAAACTGTGGGGTAGTTCTTGGTTAGGGATGGTAATGTTTGATGTCTGTACATCATGCATGACATGTTAACATGGGTGGGGATCATGCAGGATCTATTCATGTCTAACATAAGCTATATATACTATATTGCTGAAACGAACGACAAGTATTAAACATATATATATGTATATATTCTCATTATACGTATAATGCAAATACTTGAAAATACCCGCATCAATGTTTCAAGCAGATTTAAATGGAATAATGTTATGAATGATGTATTTGCTCATTTGAAGGTGGATAATGTTTTTAAATTGTTTTGGCTCCTTTGATGAGATATTTTCAAGTATTTATGTACATGTATATACGATATACTGTGTGCTACATGGGTATACTAACATACGAAGAGGATATACATATTGCCTACGAAATATTTATATTGATATCATAAAAATTAGATAAGAGTGATAGTGTTTTAACACTCAAGTTATTCTATACGCTTAGAACTATATATCACTATGGCATATCATCTATGACATCATAACAGAACATATTTATAATTATTCATCCACGAGGGTTCACCTGATAACAGTTTGCATTCCAATCCACAAACTAAAATTTCATTTAATGCATTAATAACATGCATTTACGTGAAATGATGCATCTACAGGTATGCATATCAAAATAATATGTCCATATCAAATTCTTTCCACGAGAAAACTTAAAATTATTCCAATGTCAAACATATGATAACCCGCGCTGCTAACACACACTATGCAAACTCGTGTGATACAGAAAATAAATTATCACATTAAAATATCTACAAAAATGAAAATAAATTCAAACACTCTGAGAGTAAATAGAATTAGTGTGAAACTATATCAGATTAGTGCAATACTTAAATGTAAATACGCGGAAATAACTTTCAAGCATTGAAATAAACTAGACTTATCTCTGTAAACACATATACACAGGAATGGTGAAATAGATTGTGTCTTTGAATTCCCATACAAACACTGGAACATTTTAGTCCCATTTAAGTCATGATGGCAAAAGACCTTTAAATGACATGCGTTTGTTTGCTCAACACAAAACATGTTGGCACGGATAATTACATACATGGTATGGTGTTCATTAAAGACACATCCCTGTTTCATCACTGACAGAACTAACTGCATCACAAGCAAAACCAGATAGTACACAAGCACGGGATCATACAGTGAGCAGGCAATAGACACAAAGATCATGAGCTATATGCTGTATGCATACTGCAGGCTCACTTACCGTTGTCTTCTCCAGACAGCTTAATAGATGGTGATGTTGCATCTCAAATATGTCCTCCTTGTATTCGTCTAACTCTAATCCGCTTTCCCTCGCTATCATTATTTCCTCAGCTCGTTTCTTGCTGTTCAGGAAAGCAGCACCGCTAGCATTCTTTGCCATTCGAATGCGTGCCAACCTGGCTTTCTGTGAGAATAAAATGAGATTAATATTAATTCAGTAATGTCCGAATGTTACTGAAAACAGAATTCCATTCCATCATTGTTTCATCCGTATCCAACAGATCGACCTTTAATCACTTACTTCCAAACACATTCAAAATCAATACAGCAATTGCGATACACATAAAAGGAAATATAAGGATATTTAGATGTGTAATTGTTTAAAATTGTTCGATCTGACCAAACGCAAGCAAAGTTAGTTTCACCATTTAACGCTTGGCAAGTTAAAACAGATATTTGCTTTGTCTTGTTAGGATCCAGACGTCAAACATAAGCAACGAAAGCCTTTTCACAACCCCTTCTAAAAACAAAGATTATTGTACGATCCCGATCACATAATGTGTTTATGACACCAGGTGTTCGAGAAAAGATGAGCGTATAGTGTCCTACCAGAAGGACCATTCAGAAAAAATATGCCAATCACGTCAGTTGCTTAATATTCACATTCAATCACTGCACGCTTCTTTCATCCTGCATTCTGTTCTATAAATACTTCTTCTGCTAATGCTAGTCATTATATTAACACATTGTGATCAGTGGAAAACATATAGTATGCTTCCCAGCAATGAGATGTCATTAACGTAATTTTGAAATTATCTCGGGAATGACGTAATCGGTTCAGCTGCTGATCAATATTTTGATATTGTGTTCTTGAAGTATGGATGTGTGGAATACAGAACTTGGAGCTATGAAAATAATCTTTGTTTACCTTGAATTTATTTCGAGGTTGACTATAGTCAAATACGTTTATGGCTTGCATTATCCAGGTTGAACACAGTACACGCCAACAAGCATCCCATTAACCTACCTTTAGTCCGATCACAGAAGAACACGTTGATGAGAGCATTCCCGTTAGTTTTAGTTCGTGAATAGGAACAGCAGACCCCCAAAGGGTTCGTGAGGTTCTTATTCGCGAACCAACACTTATGAGTATGTTATAGAACTTCAGATCCCTAGTTCACACGTTTGGAAAAATATTCTTTTGAAGAAAATATTTCAACAACTGAGTCCATGGATTTACAACAGCACAAATATGAACACAGGTTATCTCCCTTACTCCATGTCCTGAGAGTCGAAGTCGTTTAACGATCCCAATTACTACCAGTATTTGACGGTGTATTGATAATTAACGCAGCATCTGTGGGTGTTTACGTACATGATCTGCTGCCTAATTTAATCTCGTGCACAGAAACATATGATCCTTGCGAGTAAGAGGCATTGGACACGGACCGGCAACCCAATTATGAGAGTCTGACGAAATATATTGACAAGTAATTGTTTAATTTATAGGGAAGGAACAAGTGGCTGGCTGTACTCAATCAAATACGGATAACTGAAATGCATAATGTGTTATCATACAAAGAAGGTGTTTTCTCCATATTTAATCAATGGCACGTAAAGCGTAACGGATTTCCTTGCAAGTAGTTAACGGGCCATGATGTTAGCTAAATAATTGCTGACATGGCAATTTGTACATTAACCCGTAGCCACCGTCACACAATATATTTCCTGTATAATGGTCGTCAGTTCACAATGAACACTACACTCTGCTAAACATGTTTGTGTGTGTCCAATTGTTCCGCGGTTTTAAAATTTCATGATTGGGGGCGGTTTCGCTAGCCCGCTGGCACCAACTGACAGGATCCGGATCCTCAGAGACCAAGGGTTGCCAGAGGCTATGGAGTGGCAGTGGTGGCGCTGTGATCTGCTGTCTTCCAGGCCCGTCTATTGTGCACGATCCTAAAGGACCTTATTCCGCTTCTCTGTACTATACTAATTAATCTCATGGACCAAGCATTTCTTCTTGTCGTCACGTCAAATATGGTTGGGTCCATATTCTAGCTACCCACAGAAGGGCTGGGGTATTCCCCTACCCAATGTTCGTTTTTCATGTTTAACAATTACAGGTAAACGTAAGCCTCATTGTAATGCTATATGCTTTGTAGGTTTTTGTGACAAGACAAGAAGATAATTTTTTTCACTTTTTCCCAAAGGAGTGTACGATTGTATGTTTTAATTGTTTTCACAACAGAGTGTTCATTATACTATGTATCTTCTACTAAACATATATTTTATTTATTTAATAAAAATGTTATGGGGTTTTGTCTGTATTTTATACTATTAGATATACGTTTGCCATAGGATTGGCGACTGGCTAGAGTTAGCTTTGTCCTGGGTTTCACTTGGAAGCAAATGTTTCCTAGCATGCAATAAACCTATCTATTATCTACAATATTATCTAGAATATCACGTGACTTTGTTAAACAACGATGAAGCATTTATATTATCGTCAGCCGAGATCATTGAAACTGTATTACTCTCCTACCCCCGAGCATAGATACTGCTTCAAGTAAACAATCCGACTGGGTTTGTCTAACGCCGTGTGAAGTATGAAGTCAAACACGCCATTAGGGCACAGTCGTGAATCTGGGCTTCGAAACCAAGACTAGATGATCCCGGGCGTAATCTTACTCAGCAAACTAAGTGGCATTGTCCGGTGGCGCGTGGCCCTGTGCTCAAAGCTCAGGTCACAAGTCGGTGAAGTTAAGCAGCGTCGAGCTCGGAGAGTCCTTGGATGGGTGACCGTGTTTGGCAGCTTGACTCCTGAGAGTTTCTAGGACTTGAGTCCTGCCCCACAACGAAGCACATGTGACACATGTGGTCTCACCTTAGGCAAGTGAGTTTGTTGAAAATTGTCTCTGTTCACCCAGCAGGAAAATGGGTACCCGGTGGAAAAAAAGTCATATGACTATAACCTTCTAGCGCCTAACAGGCAGCTTGGGTTATCCGGGGTAATAATGTGCTGTGCCTTGATTGTTAGCGCTATGAGCATACCTAGTGTGGAGTTTGTATTATACCAAAAGCAAAAGTAATGCAGCAGATCCTGGTACCAACAAGGGGTCGTACCCCGCACTGAGACAACCTACGTATAACACATTGTGGTAAGAAGGAGGCATGGACACCAGCTGGGTTATCCTTCTTGTGTCTTTAAACATGTGATCACATGTTTGATGTGGATTACCGTTTCTCATGTCGTAGTATGACATACAAAACATTTGGACACTTCGAAATGTGATTTATCATTGATCAAAATGTATTGCAATTCCTCATTTGATTTGTACTTTATGTCTACAATACATATTTGACTTGCCTGTGCATGTGTTTATGACGGGGCCTTTATGATGGGGCATGATTTGCTCACCTTTTCGCGAAAAAGTGCCGCAATATCGTCATTAATGGATAGTGAACCATAGGCATATGCCCTTTGACAAATGCCCATAGTTTATGATTTTTTTCCTTTTAAAAAAAAACATTGGTTGAGCAAATTAAACATACCTTCTGAGCTTTCCTCTTATCGGCACGTTGATTTTGATGATAGATGCGACTAAAGTTGGACACTATAACTGGAACGGGCAGAGCGATCACCAATACACCACTGAGAGAACACACACCTCCTACAATCTTCCCCGTAATAGTGTTGGGCACCATGTCACCATAACTGGAACAGAAACACGGACAATAAGCACATAGGAAACGGAATTCAGCGCAACAATACATTAAGCTGAACAATGCATTCAGTTCAGCAGTGCATTCAGCTCATCGACTACATTTAGGTCATCAATACATTCAGCTCAGCATTGTATTCAACTCATCAATGCATTTCGTTAAACAATGCTATCAGCCGAACAATGCATTCTGTTTAAATGCATTAAGTTCAACAATATATTCAGCTGAACAATGCATTCAGTTCAGCAGTACATTCAGCTCATTGACTACATTTAGGTCATCAATGCATTCAGCTCAACATTACTTTCGGCTCATCAATGCATTTCGTTAAACAATGCTATCAGCCGAACAATGCATTCAGCTTTGTCAAATGCATTCAATTCAGCAATACATTCAGCTCATCAATACATTCAGCTCAACAATACATTCAGCTCAAATGCATTCAACTCATTAAAAACAGTTCCGGAAACGTATGAAGGCGTATGGTTATCGCCTATGGTGAGATATAAGATCAGTTGGTATAATGACTTCAACAATACAGCCTAGCTGGAGCTGGAGCTGGTAAGATGGTATATTCAAGACTATTGTAAGGCAATGTGCGGAACGGAGCAGACAATCCTCAAGAGTATGTGATTTAACGTTGTTTATGTGGTATTGCCCTCCCGAAGGACTCATAACTGCCATGGTTGTTTGTTATCAGGAAAACTGTATCTTAAATGTGATATTATCTGACAACTACTTCCGTTCGTCAGATTATTTGCATCATAAAATAGGAGCAGTATTGGGGAAACGACCAAAGTATTTGCATGGATACACGTGATGCATATAATAATTCCAGATCCGTAGATCGATGCCTACGATGTCTATAACTGGACTGACAGATCCAGATTTAATTATTTACACAACAAGCATTTGTACATGAACGGTGTTATGCCACTGTCCCATATATTGGTTTTATTCAATACACAAACAAAATCGTCTTTGCTTTTGCAGTAAGAAGAAAAATATAAAATATAAAATTTGCGAAAACAATGTAATGTATTAGCATATGTAATAGGTATGTTCCATCTGTGATGTGGTTTGATCTTTTTCCAGTTGTCATGCACATATATGCATAAACCAGATAGTTATATTACAGCCATACGATATGTGCGTGTATTTCTACCAGATACAACCAAGATGGTATAGGGAGTACGGTAGAGAATGTTTCCCTAAGTTGACAGATTCTAACAGTTTAACAGAATGAGTATTGGTGGGGAAACAAACCCGGAATCGGACACCCTTAAACCTCAAAACCACTAGACCAAGATCACAGTACGGTCCAATATACATTGTGCATGGTCATGGCTTATTCCTCAAAAAGATTTGTCAAATATTTCCATTAGCATGTCTGCTTCGTCCTAACAGGGCAGAACAAAAAACGACAGTGAAAACTATTGCTTCCAGTAATCTTATCAACGTTTTTGTCAAACAAATCAATCACAATAATGGACATTTCTTTTGCCGTTGGCTGGAACTTATCACATTGTTTCACACTTATCAATGCCTAAAGACAAAAAATGAAATTTTGTCTTGATTATAATGTTCACTCTATCCCGACAATATCTGATTAAATAAATCTACAACCAGCATAATCAATTTCTCCAAACATGGTTCCTATAGCAACCATAAAACGATAATGCTTTGATTATTAGAAAAGTACTGTCTGTAAGAAAACATGAAAAGAGTGAATTAAAAAAATACTCGTATCCCTAAAGTAATTCAGCTGACGGTAGTCTTTGAACCTCTGCCAGGCGCCATTCAGGAGAATGTTAGTAAAACTCGCGCTGTCATTGCTATTCGGTGTTGACGAATGAAGGACAAAGACAAACAGTGTATGAAAATTATAATTCTTGTGATAAAATCATACAGTTATTTTCAAGACCAACATGTTTCTGCCTCACCAGAAATTCCATATTTGTGTTGAACGTTAACACATTGATTTCAGTCCACAACAGACTTATTCATGCTACAAAGGATAGGGTGTCATTGGTCTTTGCTTCTATACAACTGTCTGTTAATTCATGACACATCAAATTTTAACATTGTTGAAATGTTCGCCTATGAATGTACGGAGGAACAGTAAACAGCATCAATAATAAATACTACTACAGCCTGGATAGACTGGAAGCACTGAAAACAAATGGAAGTTAGCACGAGATAAAAATATCACGACCAGGTGCCGCAAAAACCATGGCAACGGTATGGACTTAGTCCAAACATGTCATTTCTAACATTACAGAGGCATGTTTTGATGCTTCTTTCAAGATATCCATTTATTGCATGTAAATTGTTATAAAGGCAACGATGCCGGTGTCAAACAATGGCCATTCCCAGTACACATGTAAAATGTATGAAGCTCTTCGAATGATAATTTAAACTGACAATGTCTTCAAAGTATTCAATATTAATGTATGTGTAAGGACAGGTTTCCCATGCATAATATTCAATTCCAGACCCCAAACCCAAACTTTTGTAATATTACAATTCTGGCATGTCGGCAGCCAGTCCGGTCAGAATTAAACAAAAGCACCACCCTTTCCATAAAAATACCAGAACGAAATAGAAATCGGTAGTTGCAGTTTCACAAATGGATACCCAAAACACTCGAACATTGTTCATGCCCCATACCATTGGTTTTCCCGGGTTTGATTCCAATATTTACCGGTCAGCACCGTGAATAATATATCCCTGACTGCGTCAGGAAACGACATTCACACACTACAAAGACACCAGGTGTCAAATAAGATCACACACATTACCCTACAAACAATAGGAACTGGTGAATTGCATTTTATATTTTTAACATTATGTTTGGTATTGGTATTACAATGCCCACAAGCATTAAATTCAGTTGTTGCTATGTTTCACTATCTAAAGTTTTCTTAACTAAATACAAAGTAGCACGAGCACAATACATAAACAAGTACGCTTGCTATTGATGAGCTAACGATCCAGCATCTGATGGAGAGATATTTGTATCTCTCATTACCATATGATCAATCTCCTGGCTCAGACACCAGCAACAAAAATACAAATGGAACCAGACTTCGTGTACAATGTCACATACAATATACGTTTTCCGGTTTGTTTTTACCTCCCTCCCAACTAGGGAAATAGGATCAATCAGGCAGCATTCATGTCGATGCAGTACCGCTGTCATTAGCTTGGTTAGGTCTTGTAAACTAAGCCGTAATTCTAACGGAAAGGCCCGGCCTCCATCATGCCTTTCTCTTCGGTCTGTGTGATCAATGGATGATTTGCTATAGCTCCGCTAATTGCAACATGTGGCAAGCGGGGGAACTCTATACCGGTTCTCCTACATGGACGTAATGCAACTGATTAATGAGTCTAAACAGCTGACGAAGAACAAACACAAGAAAACAAGGTAATTAATTGGAAACACCGATCCCTTAACCACACACTGTCTACATATAGCCAACGCTTCTTCCTGAAACCAAACGGCTTAGGGTATATGAACATCTACTGAATGGAAATGGTATCTGGGCATGGTGATGTGTCTCGAAATGCCTGCACATAATTCTCCCCGGACACAAACACTCATTTCATCATCATACGAATTATATGCAGTATTTGAGGCATGTTAGTATGTGGTATTATGCTCGCTGGGAGACTGGCAATCTGCATAGCATGAGAAGAGCTAGAGAGAAATGTTTCATTTACAAAACCGATCTTCTGCAAGGAATGAAAGAAATACCAGACATAATAGGAAGAACCTGAGTTCTTGTGTTACAAATCCCTGTATAAGTGACCCCCATGAAAGGTCATACGGTTTTGCATCACCTTCTTCTCATCTTGGAAGCGAAGTCACATGTGGAAAATGGTGTAACAGAGACGTAAGAACTATCAAACATATTGCAAGATCTACGGGCCAAAAATAACGAACAAATCACAATGTTGAGTTTAACCTGAGCAGGACACTGCTCAATGGAACCCCTATAATTGGTCATTTCCTCATATCCCTGTGTCCCCTCAAGAACCACTTGGAGCATGACCAGATCCTAAGCGCCCACCACAACTGATATTGTAAAGGATGTATGCTGTTAAATATAGTCTAGACAGTGTATTGATGGTGTACAACAGCATAAAGACACCGTGCAGGGAAAGCAAAGGCGTTAAAAATCGATAGTTATTATGTATATAAATGTCCCAGTCGGGAAATGACATGGAGTTTGTGCTACACTACAGAACATCTGCGTTGGATCGGGAGACGTGGATCCATAGATACTGGCGGATGCTAACGTACTGTGATGATACGTATTGATATTTCTGTCCTTAAAACATAATTGATGTTGATCTTAAAGATCACCGAGTTTCGTTTCCTTTTCTTGAAGGCATGTGGATTTGTCCACAAATTTCCTATCAACATATTTACACATTGCATTTATTTGAGGCTGTTATAAACGATTCCTTAATGTACCGTTAGACTCAAAATGCATTTTTATTGTACATCTATTTACTTTTTGTTTGCCTCTGTTTTACAAATAGTATATGCATTAACACCATTTGGTACAGATACTTTATAAAACAGTTCCTGCATTAGGAACCTTGGGAGCATTATTTGTGCTTGCTACCAACTATGCTTGGTAGATAGTTCGTGCTATCCTTGACGGACGGATATAGCACAGCTAACAAGTTGGCATATTGCCCGTCACAGCTTGCTGAAAGTACAACGTTTGACACCGTGGATGTTGGTGGCATCATTGATCTTCAATGTAGACTTTCCCTTCCCAGCCACAGCATCTCCACACGAGGTAGTCGTCAGAGGCGGAACCCTTGCATCACAAACCGTTAATGTCATAGCGCTACTTGTTTGAAAAACAACAACGAGAAACCTTAAACCATTTGTCGGTGAGGAAAGCCCGGCTATAACATACCCATCCGAGAGATGCTCAATCAGAACTAAAAAAACATGTTGACTAGCTGCCCGCC